CCTCTGATGGACTCTCCCACTCCCCCCTCCCAAATACACACACACACTGTCACTTTAATCAGTCTGAATAAGCTCTTTTGCACTACAATCATTATATCTACACTGTTGTTTACTTCACTGGTTTGCACTCTATCTGCCATGTGCCTTGTGCTGCTTTATATATATTTTTTTACATTTTTTACATTTTACCTTATTTGTATATTTGTATAGTCGTATTTTTATATTTAATCTGTATCTATCTGTATTTATGTTGTACTGTTAGTGTTATCTGTATGCACCAAGGGTCTGAGAGTGACGCAATTTCAATTCTCTGTGTGTATGTGCTGTACATGTGGAAGAACTGACAATAAAGCAGACTTGACTTGACTTGATATCTGTTTGTGCTTAATGGAACATGTGATGAACTACACCTGTGGTTACAACATCTTTCATATATTAAGTGTCCAAACAGTTTTCATTGTACAGGGTTCAACAATAAGGCTGGCCCATTGGCCAGTGAGTTTCAATAGAACCTCCTGCAAAGCTGCTGTGAAAATGTGTACTGTCAAAAGCTCTATACAAATAAATGACTTGACAGTCATGAAAGCATCAGTAAGAATGTGTTAGAGGAATAGTTCACCCAAAAATGGAAATTCTGTCATTAATTACTCTCATGTCGTTGCAAACCCGTAAGACCTTCGTTCTCGTAGCTTCATAACACTACGGTTGAATCACTGATGTTACATGGACTATTTTAATGATGTTCTTACTACCTTTCTGTGCCTTGACTGTGGTAGTACCCTTGCTGTCTATGGAGGGTCAGAAAGCTCTTGGATTTCATCAAAGGTCTTACGGGTTTGGAACGACATGAGGGCGAGTAAGTATTGACAGTTTTCATTTTTGGGTGAACTATTCCTTTAAACTTTAACTAATTCATGTTTTACATTTAATAATTAACACTATGGGGCCAGTGAAAAAATTGGCAGGACAATTAAAAATCAGAAGTATTGGGTCGACAGAAAAATTATCTTCTGTGTGTTGTTGTTGACAGAGACTCACCGTCAGAAGCTGCACCATGTTCACAGGCTGGTGTCCAACCAGCTCCACCTTAGACTCGGCTTGTGCCTGACTGGACTCCGGCTCTTGAACACCCTTCGTTTAAAATGGAAGGCACAAACTTTATTTACATAGCTCTAAAAGCTAGTAAATATTTTAAAATGATGCAAACGCAAACTTACCTGCGACGGTGGGATGCTATGGGTGGACTGGTTAATCCCCATTGGGGAATTCTCAGCAAACTGAGCGTGGGCAGGCCGGAGGTTTGTATACATGGTTGAATATTCAGTGAAGGAAGCCGCAGTTCCTGCTGGAATCAGCTGAACTCTTTGAGGAGAAGCCATGGGAGGCATTGAACTACGGATCGCCATCATTCCCTCCTTACTGGAAGGTGACTGCGCCCTCTTTAGTTCTAATGCTTTCGAGGAGTCCTTCTCGGATACTCCCTTCGATAACAAGTGTGGCCGAGGAGAAAGAGACGCCGCCATGCTGGTAGGAGTCGAGGAGGGTGTTATGTTCTCAGGGACGTGCCCCTGGTGTAACTCCGAAGCGGGGCGATCGCTCTGCTGGTGTTGCATGAGCACCCGCATGTCTCTGTTGAATCGATCGAGAGGTAAACCGCTGTGGAGAGCTCCACGATATTCTGCTGGTATGGAGTCTGGTTTGAGTTGAGCAGCCGGCGGTCTTGCATTGGCTGGGTTCACCTTGAGGACCATCTCCCTGTTTCCCACGGTCTGAGGAGATGTGGGTCGCTGCTGGCCAGGAGCCCAAGAGGAGGCGAGGCTCTCAGAGTGAATCCCATAGTTCATCATGGAGAGGGGAGGAGTGTTCACTCGTACCTCACCCTGGGTGAGGTGTCCTAATGCGCCGACGCGGTGTGGCGACATCCTTCCAATGCTACCGTGAGTGTTGTGTGGAGGCATGATCACAGACTGCTCCGAGTGGTGGACCGTGGAAACATACTGGGACAGAGGGTTTAATCCAGGGGGAAGGACCATAGACACACCTTTCGGAGATGAAGAGCCAATAGGAGATGACACTTTGGCAAAAGGAGAATGAGGATGTCCGGATTTCCGTGGAGAGCGCGGCTCCTGCTTGGGTTGGATGAGTGACGGAGTTCTGTCTGTCAATGTGCCAGTTATGAAGCCAACATGATTGCCTGCTGCCGAGGGAAGATGTGGACTTATAGCAGGACTAATAGTTGGGACCCAAGCAGGTTTCTCCACGTTGAGAGACTCTGGCGCATCACCCTTCTTAGGGTGCTTCATCACCATTGGGTATTCTGTAGGATGGTAACTCATGACCTGTGATGGGCCAGGCGTTTGCTGCAGTATCTTAACAACTCCACTTTGAACTGGAGTGTAAGCAGATTCTAATTTGTCCAGTGCAGATTCTTGCTTAATCGTGGAGACCTTTGGTTGGGGTTTTATTGAATGTCCGTGATCTGAAGGAAGTGGGCATTTTGAAGATGGCGGATGGGAGGCACTGTAAAGTTCCTGCTTGATCTGGGGCATTGACACCAGCTGCTGTGACTCTATGTCCACAGCACTGGCAGGTGGGATCTGGCTGATTTTGGCACTTATGCGCAGTGGCCCCTCCATTTTCTGGCCAGAATGACTCAGCACCACCACACCTTCTGACGTCTGAACTCTTAGTCCTGTGCTGGAACCTGTACTCAAAGAAGTACTCTCCACAATATAGCGACCGGCATTTCCACCTTCCTCACCAACTGCTGGACCATGGTACGTACTGCTTTCCTCCAAGCTTGGCTGGTAAATCTGTTTTGGAGGTTGTTTGTCAAGAAAAGGATTTCCAATCTGAGCTTTTGGCTTCTCCTCGGAGTCGGGGGGATTGCAAACGCGACTGATGACGGAGGTAGGAGTGGAAGCAATAACTGAAATCACTGACTTCTCACTGAATATCTGTTTAGTTTCTGGGGACGGTATAGAAGCAGGCTGTCGAACTATAGGTTGGGCTGAAACAAGGGGTTGCCTCTTATCTTGAGGAGCACTCTTGCTGGTTACCACATCTGGTTTAGCGTCACTTTCCCTTAAAGGAGGAGCGTGTATATTTCCAGATGTAGCACTGATTTCCAACACTGGAACAGTTCTAGGCTTTGTGAGGATTTTGCGCAAATCACCTGAGTTGGCATCATGAGCAGGGGTGTCTGAGGGTAATGTAGGGCTCTCCATCGGGGCTACAGAGGTCAGCGGAGGAGAGAGGACCCCAGCTTCTTTCGGCTGATTGCAACGCTGCATTGGGGAAACAGAAAGCCTGCTTGGGTATGAGGACAAATTCTTGAGACAAGTTCTCATTGGAGATAGTGAAGGAGAAGTGTTCTTGTATGAATAAGGCTGGTATTTGGATGATGTTGGGCTTCTGCTAACAGCTGGAGAGGATTTTGGGGTATCCATCTCAGTTTTAAGAGGCGACTCAGGTTCGTTTGGAATGTCCGCATTAGGAGCTGGTAAACTTACACCCTGCTTGGAAGAGGAAGTAATGACAACAGCTGTACTTGCTGGTGATCTTTCCGTGGCTGCTGGAAGTTCTGCAGGTACTGACTCTGGTGACTTCACAGGGCTATTTTCAGCCTCCAAAACTACGTCTTTGATGGGTTCCTTTTTGCTTCCAGCACCCTTTTGGCCTTTACCCTTCTTTGAAGTTTTTGCTCTGCCTTTACACCCTTTTCTAGGAGTGGTTACGGTCTCCTCCTGAACGACTGCTGTGCTAACACAGGTTTCAGATACTTTTGAACCGGGTCTAAGAGTCTGCACATCACGATTGGTTTCTACAACAGAGTTTGTGATTTGTTCTGTGTTCTCTGATGTGATGGAATCTATAGCAGCAGCAAGCTCGGTTTCACTAGACGGATTTGCAGGCTTTTCTTCTTCTGACTCGCGCTCTGGTTCTTCAGCTGCCAAACGTTGTGCCTTTGTCTGGTTACTTTTAAATGGAAGAGAAGTAGCATCTTCTGTGAACATGGCAATATTCTCAACAGCTTGCTCAAGCTCCAACTCTCGAGCCAGCGAAGCTACATGTGGCTCAATGGCTTTTGCTGCAGCAGGCAAAGTCTCCCTTTCACTATTAGCATCATCTATAGAATCATTTTCAAATTGAGCTTCTAGTACCTCATCCTTTGAGGACACACCAGGTGAGCTATTTTTGGGAGACTCATCAGTTCCAGGTTCCTCTTCACTAGTCTGAAGCATTGCCTTTACTTCGGTCACATCAAGACGGATTCTAAGGTTTTTGAGAATGGGAGGGTTTTCTTCAGTAATGAGTTTGGGACTCTCCGAAATTTTCTCCATTTTGTCTCCTTTCTTTCCGATTCCAGATGCTGATGCATTTCCTGGACTGACTCCTTTTTGTGTGGGGGGTGAAAATTTGCCTTTACCCACTTTGGGAACCCCCTCACTGCTCGTCTCACTGCCATCCAACTCCTTAGACTCAGTTGATTTTGACCGTTCGACTTTGCCCGCTGGTACATCCTCTGCTTGGCGTCGATTTTTAGGGGGGCGTCCCCGTCTCAAGGTCGGTGGTGCAGCAACAGCCTCTACATCAGAACCTACATCTCTGTCTACACCACGCTTCCGTGCACCTCGAGGCGACTCGGCATCTTTTCCAAGTTGCAGAGCAGTTTCATCTTCAATTGGTGTAGCATAGACAGAACGCACATTTCTACGTCTTGCCCTACCTGACTGTGAATTTTGCTCTGTACATTGCTCCGTTTCTATGCTGTGCACAGGTGACTTACTTAATGACTTTGAATCAGGTGTTGTCTTGAACGCCTCTCCTCTTGGAGAAGATGAACGTTTGAGCTTTTCTTTGTCAATGCGCTCACTTTTGCGGGTGCTTTGTTTGTCTGGGGTAGCAGGCAGAGTTGTAGTTACTGGTGTGGTAGGCGAGGTTTTAGCCCTTTTATTTCTTGACTTTGGAGGGGGTGACACAGCTTCTTCAACTGGATAATTATCAGCACATTTCTGATCATCTGCATTATCAGATTCAGACTCAGGTGCCACAGGTGGCTCAGGTTCTTTTTCATGTTGCTCAGCAGGGATATGCGAGAGGGGACTTGGTGATTCAGGAAACTTCACTGGTGGCTCAGCCTCTGGCTGTTCATTATTGGTTGGTGTTTCGTTGCTTGGGAGCTGTTCTGCAACTACTTTATTGGTGTCTTGAGCACTTTCAGAGTCATCAGCCTTCAATGCCATCTCCTCTGCTGCGATCTTCAACTCCTGACATTCTGAAGAATTGGGTTCTGAGGGCTGCTCAAGCAAAGGCTGCAATGGCTGAGCTGTGGGCTGCTCAGGCTCTTTATCTTCCTCCATAGCAGAATCAAGCAAATTACAGGTTGGAATATAAACATTTTCTGCTTCCACTGTTGGCAAGGATTCTTCGGATGCTAAAACAGGGGGTGATATTTGAGGAGCTTGAACAGGACTAGTCTGAGGGACCTGAACAGGACTAACTGATTTGATCTCAGCTTGTTGGATACTAGGTTCAGAAGCATTTAGCTGCTGTGGTGCTTGTTCTTTCTCCGGTGTTTTGCCTACTCTGGTTGCATCTATGCTTTCATCTTGCTTGGAATCTTGATGGCTTTGTTCTTTATTCTTCTGTTGCTGCAACCTTGTTAGTTCTAAAAAGCGGCTATGGAAAAGCACAACTGGTTCTGGGTCAGGCTGCCCTTCTGCTGGGCCTTGCTGAGAGTTCAGACATCCAACACCATGCTCAGGGTCCTCATGCTTTCGTTCCAGATGCTGAAGACGCCTTGAATCCTGCTCAAAAATAGAACTGTGCAAAAAACGTGATGCAAACAACTCTCTTCTCTCCTGCTCTTCTGGCTTTGGATCTTCTTTCCTGTCACCAATTTTGTCGTCAGACTCGCTTCTAATTTTTTTCTTCTTCATGTACCATGAGGGAGTTGGTCGTGGTGCGGACTCCACCTTCTCTGTGTCCTTTCTACTTCTGAAACTGGGGAAGTGCGAATCATAATCGAGGAAAGACCAGTTGTCTTCCCTTGTTGAGGACAAAGACTTTGCACGCTCTAACAAAGCTTTAGTATCAGGTGTGATTGTCTGATCATCTGCAAAAGAACAGAATTTGTTTCTCTCTAGAGAGGGCGTCAGCTTGGACTCTGATAATCTGTCTGGACGATGTCTTTCAGAGAAGGATACTGACGTTGATGGAGCAGGAGAGTTGGGCTTATTTTCACGATCTTCTTCAGAGTCAGAACGCACTTCACCAGGTTCCAAATCAGGCCAAAGCCCATAATCCAAGTACTTCTGATTGAGCCGTCTTTTCTCAGCGCTCCTTGTAAAGTCTGGCAACAAATCTTGCTTTAGTCGACTCTCCCAGCGTCTTTGCTGCTCGTCTTGTAGAGACGTACTCGTCTTTGACATCTGTGAGGCGTGCATCCGTTTACCCCCAAGCTCCTGATCTGACGGAGCATTATCCTCAGGTTTCAATGCTTCTTTTACTTCTCTCATAATCATTTGAGCATGAGGGTCCGCATACTCTTCCTCTCTTTGTTGGGGGGCATGGTGAAACCTTGGAGAGTTTGTGTTATTCCACTCAAGGTCTTCACTCTTTTGCCGGACCGTTCGGTAAATCCTTTCTCTCTTAGCATTCATATCCATCTCGAAGGACTCTTGTTTCTTGATCTTACTTGGAGGTGAATTATCAGTAACGTCCTGCGGAGGCTTGCCGACCTCATGCACCAGGCTTCGATGCTCAAGATCTTCTGCATCTACACCTAGAGGAGTTTCTGGCTTTCCTGGTTTATCCAGCGGCTGCAGCTGCTGCCGTAGCCGTCGGTTTTGCTCCATCTGTTTGCGGTAACTCTGAGAAAGGTCAATATTTTCTAGATGTTCATCCCTTACTTTATTGTCCTTATCGGATGTTCCATCAGTTGAAAATCGTCTAGATATGCTTGGCCCAGGGTGAGATTTTGAGTCCAAAACATCCACCTCAGGCAATTCACCTGACCTTACCATTGGGCCCTGAGACGTCCCTCTCATAGCGCCATCCAGCTCTTCCCTTTGACTATAATGAGAACCAATCCTGGATTTGGAGTGTTCTCTTTTTTGAGCCTCTTTCTCTGCTTTTACATCAATATCTGTCTCTTTTGCAAATCCCGCGCTTGTAGCAAAGTCAGCAGGTTGGCTAATCCCAGAACCTGGATCCTCCTCCAGACGCCCCCGTTTCTGTCGTATCGCTTTCCCGCCGGGATCACCGAACCGCCTCTTCCTCGCTTCAAGTTTGACAGAATCTACAAGGGAGTCTTTGCCATCACTACCAGAGTCAGATTTTAAATGTTTCTTTGCCTTTCCTTTGCCGTCTCTGTCTAGCAACTCGCTTTTACACTGATCGAGCCGCTCTCCCTTTTGAGACTCAAGGCGAGTTACCTGGTCAGTAGGGGAAGGCTCTTTGTCCCCTTTATGCTTCTGTCGTTCTTGACTCTCCACATTTGAAACCTTAACCTTCCCAGATCCCAAATCCAGGCTAGCCTCTCTATCCGCTTCAGAATGAGGTACGTTGGGAGACTGCACTTTCCCTCTCCTTTGCTTTGCTTTCTCTCCTTTCTCTCTGTCAGCCTTCTCCCTGCATCTGCCGCGCTTCTTGTTCTCTGCCCCACTGACGCGCTCTGCCTCGGCCTGCTCCATTTCTCTCTCCAGTCCTTCAGATTTTGAATCTACTGGCGATTTCTCAGACTTCTCAAACTGAGCCGGGGGTGGAGACAGCGAGCTGCAGCTTCCCGATCTTTCAGGGGAGTGCCTGAACACGCGTCGTTCGGCGTCTCGTGACACACGGTCCGACGGTGAGGGCGAGGCAGAGGGAGTCAGGGGACGCCGCTGATGAGACGGGCTCCATCGGCCTCGCTCCACCTCAAAGCGCTCGCGCTCCCGTTCACGTTCCCGCTGGATATAGCTGTACTTCCTGATGTCCTCAAAAGGGTCTCGATAGTCTCTGTATTCCCGTGGGTCCTCGTGATAGCGGGGATCGTAGTGCTCTCCTTGATAATCTAACTCTGCATAGCGCTCACGACTGCGACCGGGGTACTCCCGACGGGGGTCTTCAGAGTAAATGCCAGGAGTCCTTACGTTCTCGTAATATGCTCGCTCCGTAGAAAAGTCATAAGGAGTTCTCCGTTCGTCCCTGACAAAATGAAACAAGATTTGGCCAATTTTTAATCTACAATATAACCAACTGCTTAAAGATGAGCAAACTAAAAGACAGAAATTATAGTTTCTATATTTTTTCCCCACTAAAGCAGTGCTCACCTCCGATCTGAAGGAATATCATAAAAATCACGGATGTCCTGCCCTGATGCCTGCATAGATCGATAGAAAGCCATTTGACTCTCCTGACTGGCAAAATCAACCTGGACAGAGGAAACAAACACATTATATAACTGAATCAACACACAAATAGCTATATATACACATAATAATTTCATTTTTTTTAACGTTGTCTCTTGTGCATTTATTTGATAATAAAATAGTTTAAAAACTGTAATATTGTAAAATATTATTACAATTTAATATAGCTGATTTCTGTTGTAATATACTGTAAACTGTAATTTATTTCTGTGAACAAAGCTGTATTTTCAGCATCATTACTCCAGTCTTCAGTGTCACATGATCTTCAGAAATCATTCTAATATGCTGATTTGCTGCTTATTATTGGTACTCAATAGTTCTCATAAAATACATTTTTCAAAAACATGACCAGTAGTGTATATATATCAAAATACTAGTCAGTCCCCACATACCTTAATTTTGTTCCCTCCTATCTTCCATCCTTTGGTTTCTCTAACAGCTGCTTGGGCGAAATCAGTGTTGTTGTACAGAATAAGAGCCATTCCTTTTAACCTATCAAACACAACCTGTAAAAGAGGCCAGTAGTTAGTATAGCTCTAAGCAACACCAGTAAAATCTATATAGTGCACGTCAAACATTTCCACAGACTAGAGATCCTAGAAGTCTACCTTGACCACCGGCCCGTATCGACAGAAGTGTCGTGTGAGGTACTGTTCCGTGATGTTCGAGGTCAGGCCGTCTAACCACACACACGCTGTTGGCATACTCTTCCCAAAGCCAAGCTGTAACAGCCAGAAATACACATCAGAAACCATCCAGTCTGATTTCACTCGAACATATAATACTGCTCTCATGTACACACAATATAAACATGTTTTATGAGAGTCACATTGGCAAGAACACGCAAGTAATAAGTACCTTCAGTCTGTTGGCGCCGAGATACTCTCCGTCCATTTTCTTAATGGCTTTACAGACACTAGCGATATCAGAGTACTGAACAAATGCGTACTGAGGGACACCGTTCACCCTCTTGATATCAATATCCTGAAATCAATGGAGACAAACACATGCTTTAGAAAATACAGAAACAAATACATTTCCACTCAAAGCCCAGTAAGTGATGAAAAATGTTGTTAGAATTCCCTCGTACACAATTGTTTGGCCCGGTTTTATTGCATTTTTGTTTTTTGGCCAAAAAGTAACGAGTTAAATTGTTACAGAAACCACAACAGATGACAGATCAGATAGCCTAAGAGAAACTTTGACATTGAGGAAAAAACATTAAAATTTGGGCTGTAACAACAAAACAATCATAAAGATAAAGCCATTGACTACAGAATGCTTTTCATGATTCTTCGCAGCAGCCGTAATCGAGATCATTTCTGATTAACTGTGCTTTTACAACAACATAACGGCTGCAGCAAACTGCAATCTGTGTACTGAGGTCTTTGTCATTGTTGATCAGTGGAAATATTGACTTTAAACAAACTATTTCAAATGTTTTTGACACATTACGATGATGTGAAGAACACAACGTCACCACATCCGTACCTACAACAGTGTTTCCCCTGCCATTATATTAGGGGGGAGGTCCGCCCCCCCAACGACACCCCCCACCCCCTTGAAGGTCAAGTTAATTTTATTTTATTATATTTTCTCTATAGCGCCAGATCACAACAGAAGTCATTTAAGTTACCTTTCCTATAGAACAGGTCTATACCTTGTTCTTTTATTAAACTAAATAGCCTTAGGTTTTTTATCTTATTTACACGACGGCATGTCATTTCACTCTCTACGTTATGGTCGCACTCTCTGTATCACGCACAGCGGAGTTCCACACACACACACACACACACACACACACAAGTGAGCACACTCCCACTCGTAGTTGTAAATATTAAGCCGCAAAACAATTTAAATATGAATTCTGCGTGTCTCTGTGTTAATGAATGGCGCAGTCACACGGTTTTGTTTACTGATTTTAATTAATTAGACATGCTTTTTGATTAATACATTTTAATTTAACCATTAAAAAAAAAAAAAAACGTTAATACACCTAGGATGCGTCGAGGGTGGCGAGTAAAACACTGGCTAATTTTTGGGTGAACTAACCCTTTAAATGCTCATATTCCTCTACTAATACATAATATGACGAAACACGCTAACTTACCACTATCTCCCCGAAGCGCTGGAAGACGTCGAGTAGCTGCTGATAGTTGGTGGTCTTCTCCAGGTTTCCGATGAACAGTGTACGAGTGGCCTTCGGGTGAAACTCATCGATGCGTCCGTCCAGGGGACGAAACTCGTTCTCGCTCTCCGTCTCTGTTGGAGGCAAACAGGTCAGGATTTAGCATCGAAGCACAGCGAGCGCTAGAGTGTGACGCACTGATCTTCGGCAGACACCCACCGGGGCCGTTCCAGACCGTGACCTCGATCAGCATCCCGAAGAAGAGCTTCCCCTTGGACACGCCGAGGGCCTTCTCCTGGTCCTCCTGCTGTCTGAAGAACACCAGGCCGTAGCGCTCCTCCGACGCGCCGTGGATCTGCACCGACGTCACTTTACCGTACTTCTTAAACTCGTGAAAGAGCCCGTCTTTCAAACTCGTATCTGAGGAGAGTAAAGCACAGACGCTTCAGCGCTCAGAAAGTGACGTCTGAAACGTACTGCCTCAAAATCTCTCACGGGCATCTGCTTTACATTATGATCATGAAAGGGACTTAAACTTGTCAGAAATCCAATCAACTCTCATGTTTGGAGATGAAATACAAGTCAGTATCCCTGATTTTTAAGTAAGCAAAATTAAAAGGTTAGTTCAGCCCAAAATTAACTTTGTGATTTTTTACTTTGCTCATTTGTTGGTGGTGACCTAAATCTACAGTCATGGGAAGCATGTTTATGGTTTGATATCTGAAGAATTATGATTGCTAGCCTCATAGAAATTGGTGGAAATGTAGACAAACTTGATCCCTTCAAGTCCAAATGATTCAGAGTCTCCTCGAGTACAGGTATTTAGAAAAACGTGAAAATTTGACACGTAGGATGTTTGGTGGGCCTTAAAGGGTTAGTTGAGCCCAAAATGAAAATTCTGTTATCACTTAATCACGACCTCATGTCGTTCCAAAACCCATAAGAAAGTTCATCTTTGGAAGAAAATGGAGATATTTTAATGAAATCTGAGATATTCTTCCATCCCTCCAATAAAAGTCTGTTTGCTCAAAACTCAAACACTTCAAAACGTTCGTAAAGAGATCAACGAACAAATATGGAGCAGTTTAATCCGAGTCTTCTGAAGAGACACAATCTCTTTAATGATGAACAGACTTAATTTAGTCTTTTCTTCACATATAAACATTGATCAGCGAACATAAACAGAAGCTCATCCGTACTTGCTTAAACCCCGTGTAAAGCAATATTGTATTCTGAGTTTGTCACACCACAGAAAAATGTGTTATTAACCACCCAGCCAAATTTGAATGATAAAAAAAAACAGCCTAGTAAATAAAGGTATCAAAATCTTGGAAAAAATAAGCAGTATTCTCTGCTCTCAAACGCCGGGGGCATGTCCTCTGTCTGAGCTGAAACCACGCCCACTGTAGTAAGTAACGGTAATGACAGTAACTGGCGACGGAGCGGGCGAACCACTGATGCTAATGCGCTGTAATTATTATAGTGTTAGGGGAGGGGCCGTGCTCAGTGCATCATCGAAATGTGATTTCAGCCCCACCCAAAAAATCCTGAACACAACAATGATCAAAAACTGTTTAACAGTCTAACTCCACAATTCAGCACTACATAGTTCACGGTCTTTGTAAAGTGTTTTCAGCAATACATTTATAATGTGTTAATTGCCTTTACACGGACTTTAATGCATGTGAACCTCAATGGTTCTTGCGTGTTAAACAAGCATGCTTGAGATTCCGTAACCAAATGTGAATGCTATAAACACTGTTAGTTGATCAATGTTTATATGTGAATAAAGACCTAAATTAAATCTGTATACAAAACAATGGTGTTTCTTCAAAAGACTCCTCCTTTATTATGGGTTTGGAACAACATGAGGATGACAGAATTTTCATTTTGGGCTTAACTAACCCTTGAAGGCCAACAAACAACCATTTTAGACAAACAACTGTCTAAATTTTTACATTTTTCCAAATATCTGTACCCGAGGAGACTCTGAATCATTTGGACTTGAAGGGAACAAGTTTGTCTACGTTTCCACCAATTTCTATGTGGCTAGCAATCATAATTCTTCAGATATCAAAACGTAAACATGCTTCCCCATCACCAACAACAAATGAGCAAACTATGAACAAAAACAACAAATGAGCAAACTATGAACAAAACTTCAATAGTGTCCAACTGATTTGTCTCAGACTGAGCTTCTGAAAACACAGCTGATGTGAGCAGTAAGTGGTCACCTGTGGATCGCGTCGGGAGGTTCTGGACTCTGATCCCGAAGCTTCTCCGTGGCTCGTCGGAGTCCAGTGTGAGCACATGAGGAGCCGAAGGAGCATGTGTGGCCGTCGACTGCACCGAGCGCGCTCGCGATCCTTCACTGGAGCTGCTGTTCGAATCACTGCTGCCAGAAACCAAGAGAAGAACTTGATTCAGACAAACCACCGCCATGAACCAACAACCAAAAACACCCACTAACAGTGGACAAAAAAATAAATAAAAAACACCCACTAACAGTGGACAAAAAAATAAAGCCAACTCAACAAACCCAGTTCTATTTCGAGAGATGTCCATTTTGTTGACCAATTTATTAAATGAAAAAAATTATTTTCTGTAATTCATGGGTTTTAAGTGTATGCTTACAAACCAACATTGGTAACACTTTATTTTGATTGTCCACTTTAGACATATTCTACTAACTTTAAGTAACTTTGCAACTCCATGACAACTAGCAGTGATTAGAGTATTAGTAGAGTTTACTTAATGTCTTCTAACACGAAGTTGCTCATAGTTAGTAAAAGTGGACTATCGAAATAATGTATAACCAAAAAATATGTGTAATTTAACACTTGACATTTCCATGATTGCAAACTGTGGAAAATGCAGATGGTATTGTAGAATCCAGACATTAAAATGGAATTTACAGAATAACACAATGTCACAAATATTGGCAAAATTTGTATGAACAAATCAAAAGTAGGGCTGTACACTTATTCAAATGGTGACATGGACTAGTGCTAAATCGCAAAATTATTTAGTTACTGCGATACGAATTCTGTGTGAATGAGTTTGGTCAACCATACAAACTTTTTAATCCATGTTTTAATTTAAAGATTAATCTCTGTTAGGCAGCACTTTGTTTACCAAAAAATGAAAGGAATTGTTCAAATATTATTTGTTTACATTTTAAAAGATTAATTCAATTAATAAAGCTGCATTCATTCAATAAAACACAATCCAGAAAAATAAAAACGTAACAGAGAATTGAAATGAAACATTTCATAGGGCACTATTATAAAAAATGGACTTCATAGGGCTCTAAAAAAATGAAAGGAATTGTTCAAATATTATTTGTTTACATTTTAAAAGATTAATTCAATTAATAAAGCTGCATTCATTCAATAAAACACAATCCAGAAAAATAAAAATGTAACAGAGAATTGAAATGAAACATTTCATAGGGCACTATTATAAAAAATGGACTTCATAGGACTCTATTTTCAACTCTATTCTGATAAACAAAAAAAGCTGTAATAACTGCAAAATCTCATTAAAAATATTGGTATAAAGTGCTGGTACGATACCTGCCGCTGCCGGTGCTGCTGGTGCTGCTGACCGAATCGGAGCTGGAAGACGGGCTGCGCGAGCGTGACCGCGGGACCCGGCCGGGCGACACAGGGGCTCTTTTGGGCGAGTGGGCGGCTTTAGGAGTCTGTCCCGCGCTCCTCTGGGGCGACGGCTGCCGTGACTGTGAAGAGTGCGAGGACCGGCTCCGCCGATGGTGGTACGTCCGGTCTGCGCGGCGGCCCCTGTCGTCATGGTACGGGTCGCGCCGAGCCAAGCTGGAGATGGTGAAAGGGTCACGAATCCGAGACTCGAAGTGCGACTCCGGAGCGTCAAAGCCACCGCTGATAGCACTGGCAGCCGGGCTTGAGCTCACCCCGGAGGCGAACATCGCGCGGTCCCGGTAATACTCCGTGTTGTAGTGCCGCGGCCAGTCGAAGGAGCTGCTGCGCTCGTGGTGTCCATACGGACTGTGATCGTACGCGTGCTCCCGACTGTCCGAGCCGCTGCTGCGAGAGAGACAGAAAGAGACACAACAGAAAAGGGAACACACACACTTAGAATCGGACCGGATCCATGGCAAACGCCTAACACAGGAACTCAAGTACACCTCGTCATCCAAAACCTAGCGGGCCAGGTTGCGGAGCCACAATTTAACGAGCGAAATCACAAGCAGACGTCTGATAGACTGAACTATGCTGAGGCTCTAGCGCTGAGAACGCACTTCTAAATGAATCATGCAGTGTTTCTATCCGACTGTGGTGTTATTACAGTCGACCAGCCGCTGAGCGTTTACTCTGATCAAATGAACCATGCTGGCTATCTGGCTCTGAACACTGGAGGGGAAATCAGACAGAAGTGAAGATCAAGAGCTGAAACACTTGGGAGCAGACGGAGGGACAAAGGGGTTAATAATAGCACAAGGCTCTAGGGTTAGTGAAGAACAGGGGTTAAGAGACAGGGTGCATGTCTAGGTTAGAGAGAGAAAGCACAGAGAGGCGTAAGGCAGGGCAATACCAACCTTTTCAGAGCAGTAACTGACCCTAAATATTCCCAATACAATATAGGAGGAATTTTGTGTGAGCCAAAAACAGCGATGGTGTAAAGCGGTGCTTGGGGGGAAAAAAACGGACGATAAAGACCCACTATGCAAAAAGGTTCTTCGTCCAAAGAGGGTCGCGTCAGCGTCAGGCCATCCATCTCAAGGTTCACTAAAGGAGACTTCAGGAAAATGTAGGAAAAAGAGTCTAGAAAAAGGAACGCATTACAAAAAAAATTAAATCTTCTAAAAACAAAAACATAGCTTTACACTCGTGAAATAATCCTAACGCCAAAAAAAACAAAAACACATCTCTGTGGGACAAAAAATTTAATTCCAGCTCATTATGTTCCCCAGAACGGCAGCGGTGGGACTCTTCTACCGCGTTCGTAGATCCACTGGAGATCAGGTAATCCAGCAACGCCTCGATCTACATCCAACATGAGGTTAGATCCGTGGGAATCTTCCCATGACGACGTCTTCTGGTCTTCGAGGCTTCGTAAAGGTATCCAAGCGCGGGCGTCACGTGGTCTCTAAGAATGACGTGCGGTGACAAGGAGGATGGAGATGATGAACCCTGACACACTTACTCCTTGCTCCAGCGGCGGGCGCTCCTAAATCCACGGCAGTGATACACATCCACGGCATGACAGACAGTTAGCACAATGACCAAATGGGTGATGGGATAGTCGTGCAAGGCAAATGAGAAGGGACAAAAAGCTTTGCGATAACTCGTAACTACGTTCCGGTTAAAAACCTTGCGTTTAATCCGTCATCGGCACATACTTCCAAAGAGCGCCATCCAAGGCGGCGGGGTAATATCCGAGATTCGTCGAACGCCTAATATCCAAACTCACCCGTTACGTCTCCGCCAGCCATCGTAATATCCAAACCGACCGGGATATTCTCCACGTGGGTAATATCCAACTCAGACGAGGGCTATGGCTCACACAGTAATCCCACACCAATCTAATCCACTCATTCTTACACGATAGACAAGGATTAATAATTCCGTGTGCAGGAAGTCAGGCCTCAGAACGGAGAGGGATCCCTAGAATCTGGTCTATTGTGTTTAACCCAACCTGAACCCCTGTATCTGACACCACAGGCCCCCTGTAGTGCAGAGGGAGCCTGTGTCCACTTACCCGTCTAGTCTGCGTTCATAGCGCCCCTCTCTGGTGTGGAGAGACACCGGGGGCCCGTACACCGGCCCCACGGCGCTCCTCGAGAACCCCGCAACCTCCCTTCCGTGACTGCTAGAGGGGGTGGGGTCCTCCAGACCGCGCACGGCGCTGGGAACTGAACCTGGCTCATTGTAATCTGTGCGAAGGTCTCTGTCCCCCATTTTGTTGATGGCATTGTGCGCCTTCTGGGCGCTTTTGAGGTCTACGAAATCTACGAAGGCCGCCACGCCGCCCTCGGAGCCGCGCTTGCGCAGGACCTTGACGCTCTCCACCCGGCCATACCTGTGAAGAAGAGACGAAGCACTGTAAATGTCTCACACATCCAGGAATCATGTGAGCGACAGCCACAAAAACACATTATAGGTCAACATAAGAGGAAGCGTGATGTTTTAAAAGTCACTTTCTGAACTCTTAGCAACAGATACCTTCTTATGTTTGGTTGACACCTAATTACTTGTACATTATTATGCTCTTTAGACAACCTGATTTGACTATACCCGCGCTCCGCAGCCCATTCACACTACAATCTCAAAGCGATTTCAAACCAGCTTAGCGGTTTTTCTGCAGTACAGCGATTCAGTTCACTAAACTGAAACAGGACATCAGGAGTTCGTTTTACTTAAGAAACATCGCAGAATGAAGTTACACGTAACTGCAGATTCTCGATCAAGTTTCGGTTTCTTCGGATAGAATCGGTTCCTGCCGTTAAACCGGCTCTTCCCGTCCGGACTCGGCGTTAGCAGCGAGCTAACCGCACACGGACACAAACGCTCGCTGTTCTCCTCATGAAAGCGTGTTTATGTGACTTCTCCGGAGAAGTGACCCGAACACGGGCGCTTTCTGTGAAAATTAGCACAAATTCCACGCGTTAACCTGCAAACCGTGAACTAGTCAGCGGCGAAGCAGCCAGCTAACCGCTTAACTTGACCGTGTTAGCGAGCCGGCGGCTCAACGGAGGTGGTTTCGGCTCGTTTCTGAATTCTAGATCGTGTTTGCGGCTTATCCTGCTCTTCTGAACGGCTTTCGTCGCTGATTTTCCGCTGAGGCGGTTTGTGTCCGCGCGAGGCCGCGTCACTGCGCGCGCAGCTGCACTTCTTGTGTAACTCACCGTTTAAAATGCTCCACAATCTTCTCCTCGCGAACATGTTCGGGTAAATTTCCCACCCAGAGGTGTCTGGTTTCCCGAACCATCCTGCGTCGTCCGCGTCCCGTTCATGCACATAAGCGGCTTCGCGTCGTTTAATCTCCTACCGTGAGGTGAAGCGCGTGACAGGACAACGGTCTCGCGGCCCTGCGCGTGCACGAGCGGGAGCGCGCAAATGAACCCTCGGTGGCGAGCACGCAATCCTGCGCGCCAGCGTCACTCTGCGTCATCCACGCAAACATCATTAATGGACGTGTATATTAATATCAGTTGATGCAGATAAATATCACAGTGGACTTATAAAGCAGTCAAGCACGAGATACCATATATTAGTCGTTTATTTGAGTCGGGTGTGTTCCTATTACACTGGAAATAACACTGAATATGGGGTTTTGGTGTTCCTGCTGCTGAATAAATATCTTTGGTGCTTTGCATTTGGCGCATATTACAAGAAAGAGTGCAAAAGACCACATTACAGTTGATATGTCGGATACATTGATATAATCAGAGGAATGGTAAGGCAGCACACGCACGTCTGCGAGACGTCTGTTAAAGATCTCTTCATCTGCTGTGTACAAACATCTGATAGGAAGCGTCCTGTAGATGTATAGCAGATGAGCAAACACTCTTGCAGACGTCTCGGAGATGTGCGTGTGCTGTCAGGGTAAGAAAGCATTAATGGTCCCAATGCTGCAGTTTCTAATACAATCGGTGTGTCGTCATCATCATCATCATCATCACATGGTTTAATGCAGTGCGCTCTGGATCAGCGACTCGTGGCACGGTTTACACAGGATCTGTCCATCCAGCGGGTGGCAGCCGGTCTCGTTGGGCTCCGGAGACAGCAGCACACTGCACACCTGAAACACACACAACACTGAAAAGCCAGTTCCTTTAATACTAATTAATCAAATGGCTGGCTGCTGAAGTGGGCCAGGGTTTCTCATGCATTTAAAATCACTGCATATTGTGCGCTTCTCTTGCGCATGCAAATTTAATTTACGCTTACAGTCTTATGTACACTTCCACAACTCTTACCCTGCGTATGCAAATCTTTTTGACGTCATTCTACCTTCATACATAGCAAGCTAACTAGTATGTTACTGTAATCACGCACCTCACAGCGGTAACAGTCCTCGTGGTACGAGTGACCCAAGCACTCCACCGTGTAGCTGTCGGTTCCGTCCTCGCGCGGGATGATCAGCTCTCCGCACACGCGACACTGCGGCGCGTATTTCCTGCAGATACAGCACACGCCGAGTGTTCAGCATCAGCCGTTCACCCCGCTAGCTAAACACGTCCCAAGGACGTTTGGCTAATGTTACTTTTGAATGTTCTCAGAGTTTAAAAACAACATTCCACTGTATCATTGTATCATTTTGCAAACATTGTGGGAACGTTACTTTTGAATGTTCTCTGAAACTAGTGACGTTTAAAAAAAAAACAACTGAAAGCATTATTGTGCTAATGTTTTGAGAACGTTATGAAAGACCAGATGACTTCGAGCCAACAGTTGCGCACCTGTAGTAGTCCCGCAGGCAGTAAACCTCGCCCACTTCGCCCTGCGCAAACCTCTGCTCTCCGATTGGCTGTCTGCACGTCGCGCACACGAAACAGGGCGGGTGATAGGCTCGTTCCAGCGCTCGGATCACATGGTCCTTGATGACGTCACCGCAGGCCCAGCACGGCTCCAGACTGGCCTGCGCATACAGCAGCAGCTGATTTAGTGAGGTTTCTCTTATAACATAACCTGCATTAACATCATTCATGGTTTTGAATTCAGTTACAGAAATTTAAGCGCTGCCCTCTTAATAACAAATGTAATAATAATAACAATCATATAACAAAAAGAAAATGTAAATGCAGTAAAACTAAATTTAACGCACAAAAACATACCCAAGATATAAAGTAAACAAAACTTTCAGATTAAAGTGCAAAAGAATAATTACAAATATGGACGCCCGCTTCCTCCACAGGATAAAAGAAGGTTTTGCCATTTTGTTATCTCACAATTCAGACTTTCAGTTTCTCGCAATACTGAGAAAAAAAGTCCAAATTGCAAGACAGAAATCAGAATTCTGAGTTTATATCTTTGTGAGATGAAAAGTCACAATTACCGTTCTTATTTTTTTTATCCCACCACGGAAACGGGCTTCTATATAACAATAATAATTAAAAAGAACATTTTATATACAGTATATCTCATCTTGCATGGATAATACAACATTTTGAATAGTTATCTGGAAATAAATAAATACTGTTTCTCTTCCTTTCTTCTCCATGACAAGTGGGAGTCAGAAACAGAAAGTTGAATTACTTTCACATCACATGAATTCATGGTACTTTCTACAGAGGGTCCAGTGCAGACTCGTTGAGATGAATGAATAATGAATGTGGAGAGCATATCTGTAGTCAAAAGCTGATGAGCGTGTTTGTAGAGGCAGGTACCTGGTAGCAGTCGTCACACAGAGGAATGCCAGATTTGTTGTAGTAGATCTTGGCTGCCAGCGGAGCGTGGCACTGCCGGCACCGGAAGCACGCGGCGTGGTACGTCCGGTTCAGAGCCTCGATGGCGGGTTCGGACAGCGGCACCGGCTTACGGCAGAATCCACACACATCTGAGAGACACAGAAAGCGTCTGAAATGACTCTTGTCCTGTAGGGTTTGTCATGTTAACGCCAGGGTTCTCACCAGCTGACAGCTCGTTCACGTGTCCTCCAGCAGAGGGCGCCGGCCTCAGCAGCGCTTTACCCGCAGCGCTCTCCTGCCAGAAGAACAAGAGCGTGTCAGTGACGCACAGAGAGCTACACCACTGCTGCGGGGAAACACACTGACCTGTGCAGGGGCGGCCGGCGGTGCGGGCTGAGGGTCACAGGGGTCACAGGGGTCACGAGGAGGAGGGAGGTCAGCAGGGGCGGGAGGGGCACGGGTCACAACTGCTAACAGATCAACAATCATTCAGCAAATCCTCTTCACTAACCCAGGATTTACACACATATGTGATATATACAGCCATACCTAGCAAATCTCATCTGTGTGACTGATTATATCATCGCAAAATGTTACTATATTATCGGCCAGCTATTTCTATAAAGTTGAATATATAGTATAGTTGGATATATAACAAAAATTAAACTATTATTGCACACACACACACACACACATATATATATGTGTGTATATATAAAGTTGGATATATAGTATAGCTGGATATATCGCAAAATGTAATCTATATTATCGCACAGACATAGGCGGAGGGTGAACCAACTCCAGGGTAAGGCTAACAGCAGCCAAATCTATTAACTACAAACATCATAAACCTGCCTTTTTAGGCAAGAACCAGACACGGGTGTCATGTAGGCTAATAAAATATGTTTAATGGGACTGAATTTGTATTTAATGTGATTACAATTTAATTAAAACATTAGAAATTGATAATTATATAACGTTTCCTTCCCACGGTTATTCGAACGGCGAATAAATTATGTACAGAAATGACATTATCACTAACTTTGATCTATGGCACTGTCAAAAAAACAAAACTACCGTTATAATCACTGAAGCTGTCTACACGAAATTAATCCCTTACTTTCATTGTACGCGCATCTGCGCTTTGTTGTTTATGATGAGAGAATTCGCGGAATTCAGTCATCGCAAGCGCGCGCACTCAACAAAGCTGATGAGTTTCAGCGATGACTCATCTGAACGCCTCTGATTGGCACCTGCGTTCCTAAGCTCAACAGAATCGTCTGTGATTGGTTATAATGCGCAACACTGTAAAAACGCCTAAAATTAAATACGGTGCAACATGAGCAGATCTTAATTTAATGCACAGTCGACACTTTCTATTCATTTACACTTTGTTAGCAACAAACGTAATCGATTTAATTTGCTTGTGCAGGGGCATTTTTGTCCAATTTAGTGTCACTTTTGCCCCTTCCCCAGCCTTACACACGCTCCGCCTATGCGCACAGATCTATATATAAAGTTGGATATATAGTATAGTTGGATATATAGCAAAATATAAACTATATTATTGCACAGATATATATTAAGTTGGATATATAGTATAGTTGTATTTACAGAAAAAATGTAAAATATGTAATTGCACAGGTCTACATATAAAGTTAAATATCGGGGCAGTAGGGCTGAAATGATTAGTCGACATTATCGACAACAAAAAACTGTCCACAAATCTTTTTGTTGTCGAGTAGTCGTTTGATCTCATGTGACCTGATGTAAGAGCCTGCAGTAACGCGGTTTGACCAGTGTGGCGCTGTAGCACAAGACTGTAATTCAGCCCTACTGATGCAGTTCAAGAGCAGAAGACAGCACTTCAGCTCAGATCAAACGCAGCCGAACCTGAAGCTGCTCAGCAGCGTTTGGATGAATCTGTAAATATATGCTGCGCGCTTTCCTCTCAATAACAAAAAAAACCATAACAAAAACTGCCAGCGGCGAGAAAGCAGGAGTTAAGAAAGCATCTGATTACAGTGCTGTGGATGTTTGCACGAGCGCTGCAGTTCGGTTCTCCAGTAAAGTCCAGTCACCTCACGTTTATTATATAACTTAGTACTTTTTGCCTTAAATCAAGCAGCTTTACAGCATTAAACATGAAAAACCAGAGTCAGCGTCGCTTTCAGTTAGAATTACAGCTTGGTTTTCTGTTATAGAGCAGCTCTCCAGTGTGGAGCTCGCTAATGATACAACCTGTTTATTAGTGGGGAAAAAATATTTCATTAAAGTTATAGTTTGGTTTGCAGAGATCACACTTGTTTTGATTATCATTGATTATCAAGGTATTTTAAGAGAGATTATGTTGTGAATAAAATAGTTTATCAAAAAATAAAACGTCTTATCACTTACCTTTATATACCACATGACTTACAGAAGGAGATGTCAGGCAGAATAATGTCATTCAGTGACTTTTTCATATAGCTAATTAAATGCTGAATAAGAGTTTCTCTGCCATCTCATTTTGTGTGCCACAATATATTTATTTGTATAAATTAATTGTATAATTACATAATATGGCTTTCAAAAGCTGAAGTGATTACCTTAATTTATATGTTAGAATATGTATAACTCAGTATTTTAACTAATTGCAAAAGCTGAATAATCAATAAATGTCTACTGATCAATCAGCGAAATAACCGGTGATTAGTCGAGTAATCGGTCTAATAATCGTTAGATTAATTGATGATCAAAATAATCGTTTGTTGCAGCCCTAACGGTTAGAGAGTCGGACTTGTAACCCAAAGGTCGCAGGTTCGAGTCTCGGTACTGGCAGGGATTGTAGGTGTGGGTACAGCGCTCAGATTGCACAGATATATTCATATAAAGTTGGATATATAGTAAAATCTAAACTGTATTATCGTCCAGGTATTTAGAGATTATAAACATTAACATCATGATTTTCTGTAAAGCTGCCTTGAAATGGTGTATTGTGAGAAAATCTCTACAAATAAATGAGATGTCGTTACGGTCTGGAGTGGGCGTGTCGGTGTGGCGTGTGCTGTCCCGTCTGTAGGCGGCGGCGGGTGTGCTGTGGACGCGAGCCGTCGGTGTGAACGGAGACGCCAGCGTGATGAAGACGGACGACACCATCCTCTTCTGAGGGGCCGCAGATGCCATGATGCTGAAACACACCCGAGAAACGGAATAAAACACTGGGAAGTTTCTGACAACGTTTTTTCAACGTTGAAACAACATCTGACACTATTTCAAACTGAAAAATAGGTACTAAAATCTGCTTAATTCTAGTTACTGGACACGTTTACACATTGATGAGATCAACTCAATAAACAATAGCTAAATAACTGCATCTGAGAGTGCTTTAGACGTTCTGCCAAACATGTCCGTGTCTTCAGTACCGAAACCTGACGTCTTCTCATGTCTCTCAAGTTTAGGTTGAATATACGTTACTTAAACGTTCTCTCGCATATTGCAGTTATGAACTCTTCCTGTACAGAATAAATCTGGAAACACACACACACATGTGCGGAGTGTGTCAGATGCTTCACACACTGAAGAACTTCACAGATCCGTCTGAAAGATCTTCAGCAGCACATTATAAAAGAACGAAACGAGCTGATGATTGAATGACAGATGAAGAGCAGAACTTCAGAAGTTCACAGATACTCATATAATGAGGCTTTGTTCGGTTTCTGTCCTGCTGCTGAGAAATTCCTAGAGTCTCTTTCTCTCTGAGCTCAAACGTACCTGAACAGCAGATCAAACTCTTCCTCTGTGTGGTTCCTCGTTCCTTTCGATCAGCAGCGCTGTAGTCACTCAAAGACAGAGCGACAGACAGACAGAGAGAGAGAGAGCTGTAGCAGTCAGGGTCGTATCTGCAGCAGGCCACACCTTTTCCTCCCTCGCTCGCCCTCCTGTCTCTCTCTCTCTCTCTCTGTCTCTCTCTCAGATCAGCAGAGGTGAAGAGTTAAACAGTTACTGACTGACAAAGCACAGTAAAATGTATGACACACACACACACAGGCAGGCATGCATACAAACACAAAAGGCATGCAGTTACTTGAACACACACACACACTTCTCCTTGCTTTATCACAGAGGCAGCAGGATGTGACTGTACTTGTCTTTCCAGCTCAACTCTGAATCTCTCTCTTGATCTGTCTCTCTCTCTCATTGTTCTATCAGTGTTGTTTTCTCTACCTCCCTCAGTGTGTCTGCCCTCTTTTCTCTCCCATCCCCCACTCCACTCGTTCTCAATCTCTCTCTCCCGCATTAAACTCACTGCTGACTTCACACAGTCATCGACAACTTCATAAACTACATCAAACTAATGAGCTGTTTCAACTACATCAACTATACAAACGATGTAAACTTAAACTACATCAACTATAAAAGCTACAAAAACTATACAATCTACATGAAAACACTGAACTATATGAACTAAACAAATTGCATATGCTGAACATTGTATAAACTAAAAAAACTACATACAACTTAAGGTATATAAACTAAACAAATGATCTAAATTATATAATCAAACTACATAAACTGTAGATGCTATATAAACTATATGCACTGTAGAAACAAATTATATAAACAACACAAACTATATGATCTAAACAAATTATATAAACCTCAAACTGCATAAGCTATAAAAAGTATATTAAACTACATAAACTATATGAAATGAACAAATTGTATGAAGTATACAAACTACATAAACTGTATGAATTAAACAAATCGTATAAACCTCAAACTACATAAACTATACTAACTTTATAAACTTAAACTATATAACCTATAAACACTACATGAACGAAACAAACATTAACTATCCAAACTACATAAACTTGACTTATATAAACTATACAAACTATATTAATTAAACAAATTATATAAACTATGCAGACTACAAAAACTTGACACAAAACTGTACAAACTAAACAATTGTGTAAACTCAATAAATGGCATCAATTATACAAACTATCTGAACAATATGAACGAGACAAACTAATTAACTACATGATGTGCATGTGGTGCTCTTTAGTAGACAGCTGTAAACTGCAGTTGAAGAATATTTTGGAGAGTTTGTGTGGGATTGTCCCTCGAGATGAGACTCTATATCAGCAGATAGCTTTGGGTTTAGTGTGAGTAGAGCCTTCGTCATGCTGGAATCTGGAGGGAGGAGCTGAAGAAAAACAGAGGAGAGAGGGGGAGGGGCTGTGGAATGCACCGGTGATGTCACAGCTGCAGGAGGGATCCTGTCCAGTGATGACATCATCCTCCTCACACGAGCTCCGCCCACAAGAAATCAGGCCTGAGAGGAGAGCTCCAGAAAGTCCTGAAGAGACGAGAGAGGAACATCTGAGGAACATGACATTACATTATCTAAACAAGCACACGTTTATAAGAGCAACCCAATACTGCGCCAGAGTATCTGTGAGGAACATGTAGACTTCTGAGGGCTGGAAGGTTGTTGGTGAATCATGACCTGTCATCACTGAGGAAGACGTTTAACCTGTTTGTTTTACTGTGTTTAGTTAGTGATTAACTAGCGTTTATCTGCACTGGCATACGTGCATCAGATAAACGCTTCTTCAGTGATCGGCTTCTCTGAGGAGCATTTGAGGTAAAAGTACAAGCACCATAACAAATGATTCATATCCCTGATACTTGTAACAGAACCAAAACATCCTTCGTTTATTCCTGTTATAGATTAACTCATACTTTTCCCTCATAGGCGGTCAACATCACTCACTGTACAGAGTAAAGCAAACTCTTGACAGCACACGGACATCTCAGAGACGTCTGTAAGACGTGTTTTTTAGAGTGTTTGCTCATCTGCTATACGTCTACAGGACGCTTCCTATCAGATGTCAAATAGACTTTAGAAGATGTCTTTCAGATGTTTATGATGTAAAACTGACATCTTAGAGACGTCTGTCAGATGTTTGTACACAGCAGATGCTTTCCAGATGAAGCGATCTTTAACAGACGTCTCTCAGACGTACCTGTGTGATCTGGGGATTTGTGAGAAGCTGAAAGTTGCTTAAATAATAAATGTACTAAAAAAAAATTTAAATTACAATAAGTAAATACTTTTAAAATAAAAACAATCGAATTAAACGCACTAAAACTGTTTAATATTTTGTTACCTGCATGTCATGTGACCATTAACCGAACTGTGTGAATGTTTTTAAATGGTTAAAATATTGACTTATTTTCTGAGAAAGATATTAAGTAAACATTTTAGATAAAAAAAATTGTTCAACTGACAAAAATGTTTATTACACAATTAAAAATTACATTAAGTAATTTTGAAACAAAATAAAACTGCTAAATTACTGAAATATTAACAAACTCTCAGGGAAACTAAATATTTTAGATTAAAAATGTATAAAAATGTTTGGGAATCCTGATTTAATATATAAATGAGTTCATGACAGACATGAAATGAAGCAGCACTAATAAATGTCTCACTTCAGAGTTATGTGCCTCTAGAAGCTTGCGTTCTGCAAGTGAACGCCGTATTATTGTTCATCCCAAAGAGGCACAAAAAATCCGAGCAGCTGAGTCCTAGCCATCTTCAAGAATCGGCTAAAAACACATCTCTTCCATCTTTATTTGACACTCTAACTCTAGCACTCTCTATTCTAATTCTATTCTTAAAAAAACTTGCCCTTTAGACTTGCACTCCATTTATTTACTAACTGCTTGTTTTCTTAAAAAAAAAAAAAAATTAACACTTGCTTCTCTAATTTTTTGTATTTATCTGTTTTCTTTTTATTATACAATTAACAAAAGCAAAAAAGACCTCTAACACTAGCTTGCTCTATTCTTTTTCTATTCTATGTTTTCTTTTTATTTATTATATGATTTAAAAAAATAGCTTGCTACGTGTACTGCGTTAAGCTAACTGAGACTTGTTATAGCACTTGTATATCATTGCTCTTTTGTTGATTTTGATTGCTTCCATTGTCCTCATTTGTAAGTCGCTTTGGATAAAAGCATCTGCTAAATGACTAAATGTAAATTTAAATGCAGACACACTGAAGTCAGTCAGTAAAACTTTAATAATAAACTACATTTAAAAATACAGAGTCTTTACAGTTATGTCAAAAATGAAACACAGTAGTGAGGTAACATTTTCCTTCCCATGAGCCTCTTCAACTGCATTTCAAGAGTCAGTTCAAGTCCAAGTATCATTATGTGCGTTATGACGATAAAAACTCCTCATCCAGATAGATTTGAGCAGTAAACGCTGCATGGCGTTCCTTCATGATTGTTCATACCCACTCCAGGTCATGTGTAGTGAATCAGTGCCTGTACAGCAGCGCTCGCTGTCTCAGGACGTCCCATATCAGCATACTGAGAACCGTATGAGGAGCCAGACGCACAAACACTGGCGTCATTCCTTTATACAGACCCATGATCCCCTCAGTAGCACAAACCTTCATCAGACAGTCCACAAACCCGCAGTACAGACGCCCCTGAGAGAGAGGTTTGATTTTAATGCATACTGTAAATTGTTAATGTTGTTTTATATAGTCTTATATAGCGTTTGTGTTTTACCCTTTTGAACTCATCCACCGGTTGGTTGTACAGGCGTGTGCTGATGACATCAAACGGCGTCATGGTGATGGTCACAGCGACACCGCTGATCATGGCGGCAATGAGCGCAGTGAGGCAGCTGTGAGGACCGAACCACTGCAAACACATTCACAAACTCAACTCATATTGGATTTCATTCTCACACATGTGAGTCTGTGCTCATTTACATATGCAGATATGTGTGTGTGTGTTTGCTGACCTGTGCGCATGTGACCCAGTCTTTAGCCGAGCTGAATGTGGCCAGTTGAGCCGCTGACCCCACCATGACCCTAGGGACGGCCCCGTTAACACCCCGCCACAGACCCATCACACCCTCACGCCGGTAGATGGACATGAATGCGCTCGACACGTCCTGAACAACACAAACACTCAGATAAAAGCCATCAACCCACTCAAATATACTCATACAATATACTCATACAACACACTCAAATACACTCATACAACACACTCGAATACACTCATACAACACACTCGAATACACTCATACAGCACACTCGAATACACTCATACAGCACACTCGAATACACTCATACAGCACACTCGAATACACTCATACAGCACACTCGAATACACTCATACAGCACACTCGAATACACTCATACAGCACACTCGAATACACTCATACAGCACACTCGAATACACTCATACAGCACACTCGAATACACTCATACAGCACACTCGAATACACTCATACAGCACACTCGAATACACTCATACAGCACACTCGAATACACTCATACAGCACACTCGAATACACTCATACAGCACACTCGAATACACTCATACAGCACACTCGAATACACTCATACAGCACACTCGAATACACTCATACAGCACACTCGAATACACTCATACAGCACACTCGAATACACTCATACAGCACACTCGAATACACTCATACAGCACACTCGAATACACTCATACAGCACACTCGAATACACTCATACAGCACACTCGAATACACTCATACAGCACACTCGAATACACTCATACAGCACACTCGAATACACTCATACAGCACACTCGAATACACTCATACAGCACACTCGAATACACTCATACAGCACACTCGAATACACTCATACAGCACACTCGAATACACTCATACAGCACACTCGAATACACTCATACAGCACACTCGAATACACTCATACAGCACACTCGAATACACTCATACAGCACACTCGAATACACTCATACAGCACACTCGAATACACTCATACAGCACACTCGAATACACTCATACAGCACACTCGAATACACTCATACAGCACACTCGAATACACTCATACAGCACACTCGAATACACTCATACAGCACACTCGAATACACTCATACAGCACACTCGAATACACTCATACAGCACACTCGAATACACTCATACAGCACACTCGAATACACTCATACAGCACACTCGAATACACTCATACAGCACACTCGAATACACTCATACAGCACACTCGAATACACTCATACAGCACACTCGAATACACTCATACAGCACACTCGAATACACTCATACAGCACACTCGAATACACTCATACAGCACACTCGAATACACTCATACAGCACACTCGAATACACTCATACAGCACACTCGAATACACTCATACAGCACACTCGAATACACTCATACAGCACACTCGAATACACTCATACAGCACACTCGAATACACTCATACAGCACACTCGAATACACTCATACAGCACACTCGAATACACTCATACAGCACACTCGAATACACTCATACAGCACACTCGAATACACTCATACAGCACACTCGAATACACTCATACAGCACACTCGAATACACTCATACAGCACACTCGAATACACTCATACAGCACACTCGAATACACTCATACAGCACACTCGAATACACTCATACAGCACACTCGAATACACTCATACAGCACACTCGAATACACTCATACAGCACACTGAAATACACTCGTATAACACACTCGAATACATTCACGCAACACAATCGAATACACTCACGCAACACACTCGAATACACTCATACAGCACACTCGAATACACTCATACAGCACACTCAAATACACTCATACAGCACACTGAAATACACTCGTATAACACACTCAAATACATTCACGCAACACACTCGAATACACTCACACAACACTCAATACTCAAATATAATCATACAACACACTCAAATACACTCATACAACACACTCGAATATACTCATACAATATACTCAAATATTCTCATACAACACACTCGAATATACTCATACAATACACTCTAATATACTCATACAATAGGCAAGGCAAGTTTATTTATATAGCACATTTCATACACAATGGTAATTCAAAGTACTTTACATAAAAGAAAAGAAAATAATAATAACAATAAAACAAGAAATTTAAAAACTTTGAAAATTATAAAAAAATCGATACTAATGTTTTAGCACATCTGATCTCTTCTGGATGCTGATTCCAACTGCGGGCGGCATTATAGCTAAAAGCGGACTCCCCTTGTTTTGTGTGAACCCTTGGTACTAGTGTCAGAGCACTCAGATCCTAATGATCTGAGTGCTCTGTTAGGTTCATATTCAGTGAACATATCTGCTATGTATTTAGGTCCTAGGCCATCCTTCCTGATATTATTGATCTTCTCAGAAAAGGAGGAAGCAAACTCATTGCATTTGCTGTCGGAGAGCATTTCACTGGCAATCTGACTTGCCTGACAATACTCAAATATATACTCATACAATACACTTAAATATACTCAAACATGTTCAGACAATAAACTCAAATATGCACAAATATACTCAAACAATACACTCAAATACACTTAAACAATACTTAAATATACACATACAATAAACAAACAATACACTCAAACATACTCAAACTCAAAATATATTAAAATACACTGAAATACATATATAATTACTGCAAACACATTACTTAAAAGAACATCTGAAATAAAGTCATTATTAAATTAGCCAGAATCTGTCATAAACGAGCACTGAAGGGCCGGATGTGTGCAGATGAGAGATGTTTGTCAAGCTTGTCAAGCTGAAGTGACAGATATCAGTAATTATCATTGACCCTTTACGATGATGTCACACTGATGATGATCTGTGATTGGCTGATAAACATCCTGCAACGGTCTGAGTTCAGTTGTGTAATGTGACACTGAGTTCACACGCCTCTGTGTGCTGGACACTGATTGGCTGCCGAACAGTGAGAGGTGTGTCCACACATATGCGCACACACACTCACACACACTCACACACACTCACACACACACACACACACACTCACACGCACACACACTCACACACACTCACACACACTCACACACACACACTCCAACTGTGTGCTCACAGTTCAGGTCACATATTTTGGGTGGGTGCTGGAAAATAAGACTGAATTAGATGTGAATCACATGTCTCAGTACCTGATGGTTGTGCTGGTGTCCGACTGCGATGGCCGCCACCGTCTGCGCCTGCAGGTGCGTCTTCACCTGATGGACAAACACAGACATGAGTCTGACGTTCATAGGAACACGTCACGCTTACATAACGCTCCTGTAAACTGCCACATCACAGCCGCATCTGTCTTACAGCGCATTTCTGAGTCTGTCCTAAATACTCGTCTCTAACTTCCTCTGCCGTTTTGATATTTGAGCCTGTCTCCGGCTGTCTTACTGTCAACACTCAGTGTGTGTGTGTGTGTGTGTGTGTGTGTGTGTGTGTGTGTG